ATTCTATTGGATTCCTTGAACTAAAGAGCATTTTGCATTTTCACACTAAAAAGGTATGCTATAGTGTTTTATATAATTCTATTGGATTCCTTGAACTAAAGAGCATAGGTATTAACACCAAGATTATGGTAATATGTACACTAAAAGCCTTCAAACTGCCAAATTTGTGTTTTTTGGCGGCCATTTTGAATATATTATTTAATTTTGCATTTTCCTGATAAAAATGTATGGTATTGTATTTTAATATTGTTTTATTGAATTCCTTAAACTAAAAAACATAGGTATTAACACCAAGATCATAGTAATGTGGGCTCTTAGAGCCTTTAAACTGCCAAAATTGTGTTTTAAGGCGGCCATTTTGAATTTTCCATTTTTGGGGGGTAGAGGTAGGGTAAAAGAGAAACTCCTATAGGAAGCTCTTGACCCCCACCTGGACCGCCTTTTGAAAGAATTGTCATCGGCAAAACAATGAAAGTAACAAAAACAGTACAATACTGTCAGTGTACCCTCCTATTCGAGACCCCTCTAAATCTGATACCCTTTTGTAACGCGCGTGATCTGTCGGGGGCGAAGCACAGTGCCGTTAATCAGGTTATTGAGCCAACCCTCGAAGTCTTGTGATTCTTGTCGAGAGAGTCATTTCAAATCCATCCGACTTGTCTTTACTCCGTCTTATTTCATTTCTTACAATTAAACACCGAAATAAATCACGGCAGCCGCAGTGCAGCACCACCTGAACAAACAGTATGTCTTTCACCCGTACGACTCTCAATATGAGGGTTATTCGAGGAGCCAAGTAATCAGACTCCATTTAAAACCAGGCGCTGGCTAGGTTTGAACTGGAGTCTTTAGCACGGGAAATAGGAAAATACCCTTAAAGCCAGAGTAGTTAATTCTTGATGATGAAATAAGTGTTTCTGATATGTTATTGCCGGAATATAGTTGATAGGTGGTTGAAGGTTGACTGAGATAACGATAACGATAAAAGTGAATGAGTTTGCGGTTGATGTATCCTTATATTTTTTTAAATATTAACAATGCATTGATTTACTTTAAAGCGACATTAAAAGCAACTATGTTAATAGCATTAAAGAGGACGTGTTTTTACTGAATGGTTCTTCCCCTTGTGACATGTAAGTTCAATTTTACTATTTGCCTTTTTTCGATGATTATTATTATAATTGATGAATATCATTTATATTTTTCTGACCATGATTATGATGATAATAATAATTATGATAACAATTAAAATAATAATAATAATAATAAAATTCATTCTTAATATCATATTAGTAAGTGTACCGTTAATAGTAAAAAATAGTAATAATAATAATCAAGACAGTGGAACACGGTTTTCTTTAAGATTAGGCGTATTATTATTATTATTATTATTATTACTATTATTTGTATTATTATTATTATTATTATTATTATTATTATTATTATTATTATTATGCTCATGAGGTCATGTTGACAAAATCATATCCTTAGCTTGTAAAATAAGACTGAAAACATCTGAGTTTGCAAGATCTGTTATGAATGAAATATCCTGGTAGAGTAAAAAACAAAAGCTTAAATAAGAACTCAACTGAGTTTGGATGGTTCTTTTACATACGGAAAGTAGTGCAGTGGTAGAGGAACCGCGCATGGGAAAGCGCCACAGCTTAGATAGGTCTAATTCATAATCTGTGTTGGCTTTGGTTTTACACCTGCGGAAATTAGAAATTGGAATTTACTCAAGTATTATACAGTGTTGTTAGTGCCAAGCATGAATACAAGCTTGAAGAACAACTGAGCGGAATTTGGCATTTAGATGTTTTTCTACATACGGAAATAAATTGATGCCTCAACGCTAATGCCGACGATCTACATTGTGCGGTGGTTTTGGAGACATCGTGCATGGAAAGGCGACCTAGCTTAAAATAATTTGTTTTGGCTTTGGTTTTACACTTGTGGAAATTAAAACAGAAGTTTGCTCAAGTATTAAACAGTACAGTTTTTCAATCTGTTCTGGAAGAACATTCAATACAATATCTACCTCTACCCTCAAGCGTTAACATCAACACTGGGCAGCAGCAGTGAGCTCGATGCAACAACTTCAACTACGGGGCCACTAACAGGGACCCTATATTGTTATGTCATTGACATACCTCTATGGAAACCACTCTTAGTCCAGAGAGATCATTATGCGGGGACACGACGATATCTAGTCTTATATCGTGTAAGGATGCATAGGAACTCAGTTTCTGTCGGGTGAATATGTAACATAAAAGTCCTGTGGCGACGCAACGGTAGCAGGTTTGGGAGACTGGCAGCAGCTAAAAACCTACATATGGGCCTTTCAAGCAAGATGGTGGCAAGACGACTGAATCCAGCAACAGACTTTTGAGGAAGTACTTGAGCGACCAGACAGCCCTATTTAGGGATAGCACTGCCTGCCCCAAACAGGGGAGACTCCTAGAAAAGATGGAGTAAAAACAGCTTGTTGGACCTAAACCTGGTTGGTTCGACGTGGCCAACGGGTCTCTGAATTAGCGGTGGAAAAAAAGAATTTAAAAATAGCAACCTGGAATGTCAGGACACTTTTAGACTCAACCAAGAGTGATAGACTTAAAAGAAGGCCAGCAAGGACGGTTATGTTATGAACTAAACAAATATGGTGTTGATATTGCAGCCCTACAAGTAATCAGAATTGAAGGCAGAGGTCACATACGCGAAAAAAAACCAAAAAACAAACCATACGATATATTGGATTGGTGAAGATAAGAGTGAAATATACACAGCCGGAGTAGGTATTGCACTCGAAAATACTATAGCCGACAAGCTGACAACATTACCATTACGCCATTTAAAACGAATTATGACTTTGCGAATACCATTAGCAAGGTCTCGCTACCTTAGCATTATTTGCTGTTATGCACCACCATGATGCATAATGATACATCTAAGGATGAATTTTATCTTCGTCTTAACAACATATTAAATGGTATACATACTTCTGATAAAATACTTGTCCTCGGAGATTTTAATGCCAGAATGGGCTGTGATTACACAACGTGTTCCAAAGCTCTTTAAATTTTTGAAAATAGACTTCTTTAACATGTGCCTTGACGAAGAAAGACTTACACAAGACTTCAAGGATGCACAAATTGTTACAATTTATAGGAAAAATGGTGACCGCTCAAACTGTGTCGAGATCAAAATCTGTATATTGCATTTATAGACCTACGCAAGTCTTGTAATAGTGTTAACAGGCTAACACGTTGGCAAATCCTACTACTCTCTGGCTGCCCCCACAAGATTGTAAACATTCTCAAGCAATTTCACGAAAGAATGAATGGCAGAGTATGTGTATGTGTTGGACTTTCTGAACATGTTGAGATAAGTCAGTGTGTGTTCTAGCCCCCACAATGTTTACATTGTATCTTAATGCAGTATTCCAGACTATTGATAATAACATACAATTTAAAGGAGTGTACCTAAGAACAAGATTTGATAAGAATTTGTACAACTTAGCAAGTAGAAAAACACGTTGAGATATGTGCCAGCACATAAGTGGATTTACAGAGGGTAATCGACAACTTTAACCAAACTGTTTGGCTTAAAAGTAAATTAAAACTGAAACACTATTTGAACAGGCTCCATCGAGCAGGTACATTCCCAAAACCAAAATTAAGTTGGACAACATTTATCTCAAGGAAGTGAATTCATTTACCTATCTGGGAACTTCCATCACCAACAAGAAGATGTGGAAGTTGGAGAACAATCCAAAGTGCTTCTATATCTTTCGGATCCCTTTGGAAAAGACTGTGGTCCCAACACAACAAACAATTGTCCACAAAAATCAAAAGTTTATAAGGCAGTGGTTCTACCGACACTTATTTTCAACTGAAGCCATGACACTTTATCAACGACATATTTCCAGCTTGACTAGAACCCAAATCGGCCATAGTAGACAAATTATGAAAATAAAATGGCTGGATCAAATTTCTGATGTAGAAGCAAACATGCCAATTGCTGCAGCAATAATTGCTTCATCGTAACTTCGATGAACCGGCCATGTTATTAGGACCCAGGACACAAGCCTCCCAAAGCTTATATGTTATTACGGAGAGCTAAATCAGGTTAATAGAGGTCGTGGACGTCCTAAACTCCGTTATAAGGACATACTTCAACGACATTTGAAAGTTTCTGGAACCATTGATGGCAAAAGTGGGCACTGGACAGGACAAGCTGGAGAGTTTTGACATCAAGAGATGATAACTAGAACAGAAGTTATCCGATTTAAAAACAAAAACGTAAACTTTTAGGCACTAACTTGAATCTGACTGTTTGGGCCGCTATTATTTTAAATGTCCAACCTTTGTAAAAGGTTTTCGACTTGCAAACTGTTTTTTGATTGGTCTAAATACCATTCTTCCTTTTACTCAAGTCATCATTGAATCGATGGACATCCGAAGATGATGATGATTATTATTTTTATTATTGTTGTTGTCGTCGTCGTCGTCGTCGTCGCCGCCGCCGCCGCCGCACTTTGAAATTTTGGCCTAAAATACCCTATTTTAAACAATTTAAAATTGGGGTAGGGGAAATAACTTTATGTTTTTGGT